TTTTTCAAAGTTTTACTTAATAGGAGGCAAGTTTTGCAACGGCCACTATCTGCCACATAGCCTACCCTGACGCCACCCTACTTATGTTATTTCTCGTGTCAAATTACCTCTTTGGTCTAAGTTTTAGCTCCTTAGGCTCACAGGGGACATATGGATTTATTTATAACACATACACACCCACCCACACACACACACGCACACACACACACATATATATGGAGGGGCGTGTGTGTTTCTGTGTGTGCGCGCGCGTGTGTGTCTTACAGTATGTATGTCATACCATGTCACTCCCGTGGTCTCTTGACCGCTGGGTCTTTTGTCTTCCTAATGCATTCTGCCAGACCAATTCCTGTCCTTTTTAAACTTCACTAGTCTAGTTACTTCTTGGTCTTCTTCTCCTACTTCGTTCTGCGCACCACGTATTGTGTTCGCCAGGGTCCCTTTTCTTCTGCTGGCATGTCCAAGGCATCGGAATTTTCTTCTTTTTGTAATACACAACCGTGTTCCTTTCCCCCCGCAAACCTCTTTATCTAATTTAGCAAATGTTCATTATTTTCCCGCTCTTCTTCCTGGAGACGCCCATTTCAAAAGCTGATATTCTCTTCTCTATGCCTACTACATTTGTCCATGTTTCGTATTCATATGATATTGTTTATATTACTAACACTCTCATCAGATTGACCTTGGTTCTCAACGTGGTTTATAGAACACCATATTTGTTCAGCTTTGCTAGATGAACAGTAGTCTGTGATATTCTGGTGAAGATATTCCATATCTTTCCCTTTTATGTGCATTTTGTAATTGGTATCTTCTCAGTACTGTCCTCCAGTTGTCATATTACTCTTCTCACTACTTACTGCTATTCCATTCTTTCTTGCTGTAGCGTGTAGTCGGTTTGTTATGTATTTCAGCTCTTTCTTGGTTCTTGCCATTAAGTCTATGAAAATTTCATATTTGGGATCGTTCTTCCTGCTATCTTCGTGTTGCCATTAAAATCAATCAGAAAGAGGTTAAACAGTCCTGGTGACAGTAAGCAGACTAGTCACACACCTATATTTGTCTTATACCATTCCAAAGTTCTATTGTTGTTCATTACTGCGCAGCTTCTGTATGTGCCGATATATTTTGATTCTTCATGCAAGCTCAAAGATCCTTATACTAAACTCCGTCATACGCCTCTTTAAATCCAAAGGCGACATAGTGCACCTCATCCAGATGACCACGGAATTATTCAGAGAGGATTCGGACATTAAATATTTGTTCTATTGCATCCCAACCTTCCCCGAACCAGGCCTGTTATCTGTTGTGAACAGCTTCAGTCTACTACTCACAACTCTGAGTAATATTCTACCTGAATGACCTAGTAGGCTTACTATTCGGTAATTTTTTAGTAAATTGCATTTCTTTAGTATTGCAACCATTAACCCATTGCCGCCGGGGATGGCATGTACGTACGTGCCATGCCCACTGTGAGTCAACGTGTTCGATTGTTTTTACATGCAGATGGCTACACTTGTATCCAATGAGCCAATTACGAGTACTGCCTGTCTCGCCCGTTCACCCTTTTCATCAATATACGAAAATATTTAACGTTATCCTAATTTGCTGTTAAAAATAACACCTATATTTATAGCAATAGTAAAAATACGTTTTTTTCCCGCCAATTCAAGGAAAGGTGAAATCAGGACTAGCAGAGCCATCTATGGGCAGAGATATTTCACAAAAATATAAAAAAATGAGTACTGCTTTTCCCCCATTTTTTGTTCATTTTCTCCGGCGGCAATGAGTTAATGTTCATTGTGTGGGTCACTCTCTATTTTCCCAGATCAAATGGCGTCTTGTGTAAGTCATCAACGACTGTATCTCCATTTTTGAGCAACTCCGCTATAACGTTGTCAATACCAGCACACACACACACACACACACACACACACACACACACACACACACACACACACACACACACATACACACACACACACACACACACACACACACACACACACACACACACACACACACACACACACACACACACACACATCTATCTATCTATATCTATATCTACCTATATCTATATCTATCCATCTACGTATATCTATATCTATATCTATCTATCTATCTATCTATATATCTACCTACATATCTATCTATCTATCTATATATCTACCTACATATCTATCTATCTATCTATCTATCTATCTATCTATATATATATGTATATATGTATATATGTATATATATATATATATATATATATATATATATATATATATATATATATATATATATATATATATATATGTACGTATGTATGTATATGCGTACCATGTATGTATATACATGAATGTATGCGCATGCACATACTGTATACACTTTACATTCCTGTTTGACTAATACCAAGGTATTTCGAATGACCTCGGCTAACATGCGCTTGCATGCGAACGCACGTCGCCTGCAGAAAGTCACGTTACAAAAACGCTCGCCGAATCAAAACAAA